ATGCCTTAACCTTATTATATGGAAATCCAAATAAGCAAATTTAAAAAAAAAAAAACTGATCATTTAAAATCAATCTAAAATTGTGTGAGAGACAATCAAACAAGAAGAAATACTGAGAACCTTTAAACACTTCCATTAAGTGCTATAACACCTTAGTTAGGAGCCATCGGAGGTTTCAATATCTCAAACTTCTAAAACTCAGAGTTCGGCATAAAGCGTATTCGTGGGGTTATATGATAAAATCATATAAAATAACATAACATATAATAGAAGTGTAAATAACATCATCCGAGATAAAAAAGGAAACAAAGATTTTGGATAAAAAATAGTAGGAAACAAAAAGTTTTGGATAAACAAGTTAAGATAAAAAAAGGAAACAAAAAATTTGGATAAAAAATAGTAGGAAACAAAAAGTTTTGGATAAACGAGTTAGGATTATGTTATTTACTCTCACACTACCTCCATTTCTATTTTGATGAGATCATGTTGCTCATATTATAATTTTTTCTCCTACCCTAATTAGATGATAAAGTTAACTCGTAGGTAAGAAAAAGAAATTAGATGAACGCTAATATGGTCTCATCGAAATAAAAATGAGATAATGGGAGTACAAATAACCTAATAAAAGTGCAAATAACATCACTTTTTATCCCATTCCAAATGTATGTTACATCTTTTTTTTATTGGTTTTCTTTTAAACTTGTCCGCACATAATGGATAACAAAGTGTTAAAAGTTCAATTGAACTTCTAATACTTTCTCAAAGAAAGGGCTCATTTGGGTTTACCTAGTTCAAGACAAATCTAACATTAAAACAAAATTAGCGCGTGCCCGTCTGTTTTTTTCCTTCAAATGTTGGACTCAATTTGGCCCAATAAAACATTGCACTGGATAACGCCATGGAAAATTTAACAAATTACTTTGAGACGCAAGGTTTTATGGACAAAAAACTCATTTTCTGTTGGACTTAATATAACAATGAAGCCAAATTAAAACTTAAAATGCATTTGATAAAATTGAATCATGAATTCGTTAAATTATTGAATTATTAAGTATTAAGGCCTTATCTGATACCATAATTCAGCATTTAAACTTAATAGAATCAAATCTTAACATATTCAGACCGTTTGATAACAAAAAATTGAACATATGAATTAATTAAATGACACTCAATTTTCTAGGTAAAACTTACTCCCAAAATTAAGAGTCTGTTTGACAAACAAGTTTTTGGTCAATTTTGTATATTATAAGTTTTTTAACAACTTTGACTACAGTAAGCTCAAAAAAATTTTCAAAATTTTAAATTATATATTTAAAAATATCAAAAAATTTATACATTTCAAAAAAAAATTTCTACCATTTTTTGCAGTATGTTACATTAAAGTTTTAAACAAATATTTAAAAAACTCATTTGCCAAATAGGGTCTAAGTGATGGGTTATTCACTTGTCACTTAACAATTCAATAATTTAATAGATTTAAACTTCCGATTTCGGACTTTAGATTTCATTTTTCAGATTTTAGTTTTATCAAACGCATCATAAATCTAATATATTCAAATACATATCATATTCAGTGATAAGTGAATAGTTTATCACTTAATTTTTTGATTAGATCTTGTCTAGAAAATTTAGTACCACTCAATTAATTTAGATGTTCAATTTTTTGTTATCAAATAATATGAATATATTAAGATCTGAATCAATTAAATTTAAGTACTGAATTGAATTATTAAACAGGACTTAGTATTCAAAGTTATTAAAAGAAAAAAAAATTTGACGCACGCTTGAACTTAATCGTGCTCAACTTGGCCATTGAACGAATTTTAAATTTGTAGACTAAATAATCGTGGGGCATATGCTCTCTTGATTACATCTACGAAGAATAATTCGAAATATAAATAGGTGCAATCTCAATTATTAACCTCACCATACAATAGATCATAGTAATCATACAGACCTTATTCAAGTTGGAGGGCTTAGAAAAATCCGTATAAACTTAGAAAATTTAATGGTTCTTTTAGGAAAATCATTCGCTCAACTCATATCCCTCGATACTGAAAGCAGCCTAACAATTCAATTTGATGGTCAAAATCAGTAAAAAAAAAAAAGAAAAAACGTAATAAGAGTCCATTTGAATTACTGTAGCACGTTATTGTAATATGACTAGGGAGGGACAGCCCGCGCGACGTGTGGGAATTTGGTGCTTGTGATTCAAGATAATTAATAATTATTGTTTAATATTTTGTAGTATTGGAACTGGAGTATGATGATTTTATCGTGTGATTTTAATAGAAAAATGATAAGTTACATAGTGAGTCAATAAAAATAATGTGCAATAAAAATTCTTATCGTTATACTATATAAGAATCCGTTGTGATCAAAGGTTATGTTTGAATTTCAACTGCAAAGATAAATATAGTTTGAAAATGTAAAAATGTTTGAAATGCAATTGAAAAGTATCCAAATGTCTCTTTTAAAACTTATCCAAGATGATAAAATATTTTAAAGTATCAATTGGACCCTTCATCTCTCGAATCTATATATATTCGTAAAAGATCCCTCAAGCAATGCTTCTGATTTCTCCCTCGACTTAAGCTCAATCTGAATTATTAAGTCAAGTTTATCCATCAGTTACTTTGCGTCCAATCTAATCTAAAATAATTTTATTTTTTATTAACTATTTATATAATTTGGTGGGTATAATACGACTTAATCATATGTTTCTTACAGAGATAACACTATCAAAAAATGATAGATAGTTAAGAAACTTAAGTGGTATTTTTCAAAATTTTGTAGAAACTATTCAGATTTGATGTTTTTTGCTAGGGATATTTTTTTTATAATCTCATAAATAAGTTCAAATCTGCATAATTGTTAAAGATCTGAATTGAAACTATCTTGATTATAAAAAATTGGTGCAAATAATATTCTCTAAATTTGAAATTGTAGAAAATGGTAAGTAAAATCAGAAGAAATTCTTCATATGAATTCGAATTGCAAATTATAGGTAGAAACTGTTTAATGATATTTTTCAATATTTACTTGTATAAGTATCCAATATAACATCTCTACTTAATTGACTCGTTTGAACTATGGATAATAGTTGCTTCAATCAAATCAAGAAACATTATTTATCATTGTACAACATATAATTATGAGTAAATGAATTAATACAATGCAATCAAAATGGTGCTGTAGTTAAAGCATTTAAACTAATCAAGTTCCATTACAAATTCTTTTACATGGTATAAAAAAGTAATTTTTTTGTATTTGAAACTATATAAACAGTATAATACAAGAACAATATCATAACATGGAAAGCAAATAAAGTGCAAATGACATCTTAGTACTATGTAGCATGATTAATTTTCTTTTTTAGTTTCAATGAAGTACAAAATTCTAAGTTAATAAATTTTACAATCATAAAATTCTCAATTAAAATAAACACAAGTTGAATATCAAATCATATTACATGAAAAAATAACTACTTGAACCATAACTGCTGGAATATAGTCAACAGATCCCTAGAGTCAAGAATAATATAAAAAGTTCATGAGAAATAAGGTTATTTGACTTAAATAAAGAGATAATACATTGGTTGATGAGGAAAAGACGATAAAATTGCTTTTCTGATTATTTTAGAAAGTGACAACATTATCTCAAATTGTACTTTGACCAGAGACAGAATCTCTGGAATCTACTAAGAAAAACAATACAATTAGTCAGTTTTTTGAATTAGAAGTATCAAAAGGCAAACTATATGGAGTTTTTGAATAAATCAATCATCAGAAAAAAAAACTACAATCGAAGAAGACAAACCAAAGAACTTACCTCAATTTAAAGGAAACCGAAAAAGAAGAAAGGGTATCGGCTAAACATGGGGACATAAATATGATAATGATTGTTCAGATAATAATTAAGTTAATTAATTGTAATTAAAATCCAATTATGTAAACATCCAATTAATTCCTTAACGGATGATAAAGGGTCCGTTTGGATTAGCTGTTTTTGGGGTTGTTTTTCAAAAACAGCACTGTAGCATTTCGTTTTTCAAATACAAGTCCGTTTGGATTAGTTATTTTTGAGGTTGTTTTTCAAAAACTATATGAAAAACTTTTACTGTAGATGTTTTATGGATTATTTTTAGATGTATTTTTAAAACATATTTTCAAGTATTTTTATAATTTATAATTTTTATATTTTTATAACAATATATATTTATGCATTTATAATACATTTATAAATATTTATAAATAAATATATTTATATATTTATATAAAAATATATAAATTATAAATTATAAATGAATATCATATAAATTATAAATGTATAAATTATAATTTCCAATTTTTATATTATTATATTTATATACATTTATGCATTTATAATACATTTATAAATATTTATAATTAAATAAATTTATATATTTATAAATAAATAAATTTATATATTTATAAATAAATATAAATGTAATATATTATATATAATACATAATATAAATACATTTATAAATATTTATAAATAAATATATTTATATATTTATATAAATAAATGTAAATGTATTATAAATGTATTATATTATATATAATACATAATATAAATATTTTTATAAATATGAATTCAGTGATCCGGTCTGTACAAGGAGCCGGTGGATTAATTGATTATGCAGAGGTCAGGCAGGCATCATACGTAATTTTCTCCTATTTGCATATTCAACTGTTAGTACTCTTAATTAATACTATCTGGTAAAGCTGAACCAAAGCATTGGGCTTTCGAGCTCGGTGGCCGTTCCTTATGTGCCATTTGTGGTCAACCTTTCATGTTGAAGTAGCATTAATCGTACATCACTACAAAATATAAATCGTTGCATATAAAAAGGCTGGCGGAAAAATGCATTTTAATTTTTCTGGAAAGAAATTCAAGTAAATTTTCGTGGCTTTTCAGTTTCAAAAGTCAAGAAATAGGAAAATGTAGAAAATTAATTAGGGATTTCAACGGTCATGCTTTCTCTTATGCATACTTTTCCAAGGCTATAAGAAACAGGGTTCGCACACATTCAATCCGCAAATCTTTACGTACTGCCAGAGTCTAATATTGCTCCTCACTCTCTCTCCAATTAAAAGCCCTGATTGCTAAAGTTCTGTACGATAATATATTCGGATTTGCTTCATTTCTATCCTGGGTTTCTCTGTTGCCTAGCTGCATTTGCGAGGTATGCTCATACAATGTTTGTATAAATGCCTAAAAGGGCAATACGTGCACTAGCCCTGTTCGGTAGATACCTATAGACGAACTCACAACAAATTCGAAGAATTTTTGGTTATGTAGATTGACTTATTTTACGTTGTCATGTAAATTCTTTCTTCAATTATTGTTTTGGCTGCTACTATTATTTTGGGCAAGTTATCATTTTGATTGCTGTTTCGGAACTTTTGTTGAGGTTACTTTAGGATACTGAGGGGTTGTCCATATCTTTATTTTCTTTTCATTATTTTGTATTCGTTGATCTAGAAGCTGAGACTGTTTGGACGCCTTTCAGCTTGTATACAAGAAATAAAATGTCTTGATCAGTAGTGGGGTCGTGAATGGCAGAATATGTTGTGGTTCCACTAGGCGTGCATCTGCCTGTGTACAGAAATGGTACAAATAAGCAATTCTTAACGCTTGCAAATGCGCAGCCTCTATTACGCAGGTGTCACTCTCACTGAATCAATCAGCGATTTAATAGTATTTTAAATATATTGAGCTTTATGTTCTCTGTTGCACAGTCCCAGGCTTCTTGTTGGGGAGGCTTCTGATTATTTTGTTTGGAATTATGATCTTGGGGTCCTTGCCCTTGGCTCTGTGGCACTTCTTAACTGCAGTCCTTTTCAAACCTCGGGGGTCCTTTAATGAATCTCGTTTCCTTATTTGTTGTTCAGGCAGTATCACTCTCGAAGCTGCAAGAGTATTCAGTTTTCGTCATGGAATTCTTCAAAGCTAACGTGTCACTTTACAAATCCAAAAATTCACGCAGTGCGGGAGAGTTTCATGTGTTTTTGCCTGGGTGCCCTTGTAAATGCTGATTTTGTGTCTGCTCCTGAGTGGGTTCCCTATGTTGATCAGGTGCTTCTCATGGCCAGCATATTTCTGACCTACAGTGCAGGAGTAATTCCTGGTGGAAAGCCGCTTTCAGATGCTCGTCGGAGCACCTCAAATGATTTCACAGTCCCAAAAAACTCTTCCCTGTCGGGTAGGTAAGGAAGTTTGTGAGAATACATGGTTGAAATACATCATGGTTGGCCAAATTATAAGCTGGTTAAATATGAAGGCAGTCCTTAATTTAATCAATGCCTGCTGTTTTCCTTTAATTGCAGTTCCATGGGGAATGATAATCAAGATAACCTTCATTTTGCCTGGGACTTAGTTGCAGCCAAATTACTGGATTCCCTATATGCCAGGGAACAGGCTGTAAATGTTAGCGACAGACTTTCTGGCATCAATGAAGACCTTGCATTGCATAGGTCAAGTTTGCGTGCTCTTGCAGAGCTTCCCAGGATTCGCTGCTTGTGGACTTGTTTTAATTGGCTCAGGAAAGAGGCAGGCACTGTCTGTACTGTCACTGCCTTGCAGTCATATTTTTCGTTATTTGATGTCTAAATGTATCTTGTTTGTCAAAAGACAAGATGCTTTCATAATTAATCTCAAAGTCTTATGCAATTTCCAGGAATTAAAGGAAAGTAAATTTCAGGAATCAGAATAGAGGAAAGATTACTCAGTTTAAAGGAACTTCTTTTGCAATTATTTTGTGAAAGGTAGATAATGTGGAAACAACTTTTGGAATATGGAAATGCAGTTCATTTTCATTCCCATCATTTGTTCCTACCTCATTTGCAACCTTGGCAAAGGAGATTTGCTTCTCCTTTGCAGTGGTTTTTTATCAATAGACTTTATTGCTATTTGGTTACGGTATTATGTTTTTGAACAAATCTTGATCCTTCTTTTTGAAAATGCTCAGCTTACACTGGAGTCTTGACTTTTCATTGCTTGACATAAAAAAAGAAAAAAAAAAAGAAACAAGATGATGGAGATTGTAGTTAATTTGGCATCTCTATATGTTGACTTTTGATGTGTAAGTCAAAAAACTATGTTAGCTCAAACTATGTGTAATTAATTTTGGCCTTGAACGTCTTTCTTTCGCTTCGATTCTCCTTTTTGGTTTCCTCAGTAGTAAGGGCATTGATAAAAATTGGTATCAGGTGGATCATATCTCCGGAAGCTCTACTGTGGATTTGACTATGGTTATGACACGAATCTTTGAGAGCTCCTTTCAGCCATTGTGCCTGACTTGGCTTGAAGAAGAGCTTTGCCTTAAAAATAACAGTCCTAACAAGGTCTCTTTTATCTTGCTTGGCTTCTGTTTAAGAAAGCGAAATATGTTGGCTTCTGAGATTGGTTTTACTCCTATCTTACCAGGCTCTTCTTTCTTCGATGATTGAAAGATTAAAAGGATATAGCAGCATTTTGAAGTACATTAGAAAGTCAGGCAAGGAAGATTTATATGCAGAGCTGATAAGTGCTCTTAGTTTTGGTTACAATGGGTATGTAACATACTACTTTTGCTTCTGTTGGCTTTTTTTTTCGTGTTGTCTCCACGATTTTTCCTTCAAATGGCCAATTTGATCCCTGCTTCATTCATGCAAAGTAACATTTGGTAAAGCAGTATTCCTGAATCCTGTATTCCATGAAGTTTCCCAGCTACTTTACAGGTTGGCAGTCTGTAGGTGAAGCTAAAGTGAAGTTCTAATGCTACACCTTTGTTTGTGATTGATTGCTTGAGATCAGGAGTGAAAGAAAGTAGGTTGAGAATGAGTTTATCATAGAGTAACTTATGGTGTAAGAGTATGAATTTAAGCAATCATTTAGCTTTCCTTTTCCTGCTTTCACCGCATCAAAATTTAGTGTTACCCGCACAGCAGTAAAACCTGTGCTTCAAATGCATTGCAACATTTTACGTAACATTTTGCTGTGGCAAAATTTTTGTTTTTGATAAATCAGTCTTAGGATGTATAATTTAATTTCAACTAGACTGGTTTAAAAAAAAAATGTAATGTTGCTAATACAGCATCATTTCTTCTAATCTGGATGTAATTTTTTCCACCTAATTATGTGGTCTACTAGGATGAGTGGCTGTTATGGACCTGGCTTTTTTACCCAGCATGGAGTCTCTGTTTTAGAAGATTTGGTTATTACCATAGCGGAGGGAATTGCAAGCATGTACTTGGAACTTATATCTGTAGATGGTAGCATGTCCACTGAAATGAACAGCCTCGGTTTAAATTTGTGTACTTTGTCAACCAGAGCACTTCAGAGATTACGCAATGAGGTGTGCATTTCCTTTGTAAAATATTACTTTTCATTTAGTCTTTGCACCGAGGTTTCCTTTTGCAGTTGTCCTTGTCTGAAGTACATAGTATTATCTTTTCCTATGTTTAAGGGTGTTAAGTTTGAGAATCTGTTTTTATGATTTTCATTATGGCATTGATGCATATTCATTTCTGGAGATACTTGTTGCTGATAATTTGCTTGGGGAAAAGATGAGAAATTGGATTCTTTTAATTCCCTGCATTCCAAGCAGATCAACTGTCCGGCAACATGGCTATTAAGCACTGTTGAAATATCTTTTCTTTGACTATTTTGGGTCAATGGAGCTTTAAGTAGATTTTAACAACTTTCTTCTTTGCATTGATGAAAATGTTGGGCTGTTTATGCTAGATGGCCCAAGGTTGTTTTAAACTTTGATGACTGCTATTCAGCTGTTATTCCTTTTAGGTTAAGAACAGATATACTTGGAAATTCATCTCTTTCATTTAAAAAATGTGAATGAATGTAATTTTTTATTATCTGGTGAATTAAAGCTTTTTGTGGGTTTGAACATTGATCACATCAATGAGAATTTAAAGATAGAAGTCAATACTTAATGCTTGTGCAGAGAACAACATAGTATACCTGATTATGTGACAGGTTAGGAGATCAAGCTTTTAGTGGAGATGATTAATGAGAAAATTTCTTGATAATCTGTATGCGACTAATAAATGGCAGAATGATGACTGATTTGTGGTTTTGTATCTGGGTAAGATGGCCTCTTCATGTGTATGGAAGGCTGCATGCTTATTACCTACAAAGATGTTTTGAATGGTTATATAATGCCTGCTGGCAATGAGACAGGGCATACGCAACTGCAAGTTAGAAATATAGAGTATGTCGCCTACTACACTTTTTTTCTTTTTACAATAATACCTAAAGGTTCACCGGGGAAAATCTATTTTGCTGACAGGTGGCATTGCACCAGTGGTTGCATCAGAACATGGAATCTGTTGTTTCTATGTACGAAGATCGCTTTGAATTACGTACTTTTGAAACCCAACTTGTTGAGGAATGCAGCCAAAGGGAGGCTGAAAACTTGGGTTGGTGGAAGAAACTTAGCCTGCAGAGATCTAGAACTACATCACCTTCTTTATCTTTTCTCATCATAATGCACACTTCCATATCTATTAAGCGGACCAAGGAACTAAGGGCTTTGACTGGGTGGTAAGTTTCACTGAGCATCCTACTTCTTCTTTCCTTCTTCCAGCCTCATGCAATCTCCCTTTTCCTGCAGTTTGGTTTTGGTAATGGTCAAACAGACCTGGACATAGTAAATTTTGGTATTATGATGTATAGCAATACAACATGGTTAAGGTAATAAGACTTGGACTCTCCCAACTTAGTTTGTACTACTAGATCTGTTTTAGTTATGAAGTCTGGGATTGTTGTAGATGGGACTAATGGATAAGTGATGATTCCATATGGCCCTTGTCCTTACTTGTGTTTTAATTGGAAAAGGAAATGGAGGGAATTGAAACTCCTTATATGCTATTAAAGCTGGGACTTTTGTGAAACAAATGAAGGGTGGGTGGTTGAAATTTTGCACTTCTGTTGCATCAAGTCTCAGATTTGAAGCAAATGCAACTGAAGTGTGGCCAATTTGCATGTTTCTCTTCTTTCATGCACACTTGTCCGGCTAATGAGGATCTTACTTGAGACCTGCATCCCAGCATTTAATAAGGGGAATAAAAAATGGAAACTTAAATTGGGGAAGGAATGTGACTAATCATGAGTTTGACATTCAATATTGGTGTTTTGGTTGTGTTGGGCGTGATCAACACTCATGCTTTGCATGACTGGATGTAAAAGATTTTGATCCAGAAAAAATTTCCTGTTAAAATACCGTTTTCGAACAACTTTGGTGCTTGGATGCCAACTTGAAAGTCTTTTCATTATTATATGGCGATGTGCTTTCAGTTAAAAATTATTTGTACAGTATCCTCTCTGACTACAATAACAACTGAAGTTAAAATTCTCACAGGTAAGAATGATGTTTACTTTCTGTACATGTTGAAAGCAAATGAGAAGTTAGTGTTAACTATTGTGCTATAGTGTTTTGTGTTTCTACTATTATGGGGCGTGCAAGGAGGTATATGCAGGAAGATAGGGAACTCATGGTCGGAATATGTATTGTATTGGAAGCTATAGAAATGTTAAAGTTGTCAGAGGTTGCCTTTTTATTTGGTTTCATTTAAGTTGGGCCTTTGAGAATGGACAAAGTGCTTTTAGCTAGGAAAGGAAAGTAGAATTTGTTTTACATGGGAAATAATATCTGGTGTTTGTTTGTTCGGTACATGGTATTGAAGAATAACCAAGTGGGTCCTTATTGTTGGAATTAGCACTGTCACTTATCTAAAGACGCGGTTTGAACTACCATTTAGATTAAGAATAAGGTTTTTGGTGTTCGTTCTTACTGCTCTTGGGTTATGTTGCCAGTGGGTGTAAATTGCATATGAGTCTGAGCCTTGACTTCCATTGACTAAGTGGTAACATATTTCTTCTTTGTTGCAGGCAGTATTACTTCAGTCTGTTTCTTGAACTGTCTGACATTGCAACACCATTGATTAGAACTCTTATTGGTAAAGTCAGTGATGCAATCTCCTTCTTTCTGGTCTGTTTGATAGGGAGATCATTGGGGCTTATCTACTCTGGAATAAGGCAGTCTCTGCGATGGAAGTGAGACATGCCTAGTGCTTCCCTTGTTGAGTTTTTCTCGATCATGTGTGTCCTCTTGGCATTGATATGGGGCAAAGTTCCTTCTGGAAGAGAGCACTTTGTTTTTGTTTTGAGGGTTTTTTCAGGCAATTGTTCACTAGTTGGATATAATTGCGCTTACTTTATATGGTCAAGGGTCGGTTTCATTTTTTGCAGCTGTATTTGAGACAGATGCCCCTGTTTTTCTAGTAGCTAGAAGATTCTTTGTTTGAGGGCCAGTATACTTGAAATGTTATAGTCCTGTTCTGGAGATCCATATACATTGTTCGAAACCCATATCCGCCGCACATATTTCCCTTTGTAATAGCCTGAGTTCAGAGACAACACATCGTAATACTGGAATTGTTGGTCTACTGTCATATCTGCGATCAAGTTTTCTTATAGTAAAATCGTGGATAGGTAATTTGCGTCTCTTACTTTCATGGGTGGTGGGCTTTAGAAATTGGCTAGGATTTGATATCCTTCCATTTGACAGCCAGACAGGAAGGAACAATTAGGCTTCCAGATTTTGGCATGGAGCAGAAACGTGTGGAAGAAGCTGATCAAGATTATATTTGTGTTTATTATCTTCCTCCAAACACATGCATGATCAGATGCTGCTAAGCTTTCTAAGTGGCTGGCTTCGACTGAATCATTGCAGTGCTGAAGCTGTTTGGTGCATAAAAGCACGCTTGGGTTAAAAAGTAAAATACGGGTTTTTTTTTCCTGGACTACACAAGAAAAATCTGGCGTTACTTAAATACGCCCGTGCAAGTCAAAGCGACCGAACCTAAAAAGTTGGACTGGTAATGTCCACTCAGATGGTGCGTCTGACTATTGTTACCAATAATGGAGCTATTCTTTGAAACTTTCATTTATGTATGCTAAAACCCCTTTTCTTCCGCTGGTTATAGTAAAATGTTTGGCCGCCTCCCAGTCCCAGTGAATGGACGACCACGCAAACCCATGCCCTTGACTAGCCTTGGTCCTATATCTTATTATGCAGCGGTTCCAAAGTACTACTTTTTGGACTTTTTAGTGGGAGTAAAACCTCGAATTTCATGTTATTGTAGTAGGACTTGTACCTTGGTTAATTATGAGGTGAGCAATAGTTATGCTCGGGGTTTCGGACGAAAGAAGTCCGGTGTATCTGACTAATTGGCTGTCCTGTCTCTCAATCTTTTCAGGGTCATGAAATTGTTAATCTCCTGCATGTCAAAATTATGGGTGGGTGTTTTCAAGGTTAATCTATTCCTTGATTATCTTGAAAGCAAGTAACAGAGACAAGATTAGAAAATGACGGGCACAAAACCGTGTAATACTTTTCGAAAGATCAAAAAAGTAAAAGGACATTTGAGAAGATAATCCTTGTGCCCTACCATCTTTACACCAATGTCTCTTTTTGTAAGAAACTTCTTAATATACGCTAATCAAATGAGAGTGTCTAAACTTTGTGTAAAAGCATGGTGGTTTCCCACCCTGAGCTTTCTCCTCGTTTACTGGTTTCCCTTGCATAAAAAAAGGGGAAGGGGCGTTGGAGATATTAAGTTGGGTGGTCTATTTGCGTCAGAAAATCTAAATTATAAAATCCATCCTAGTGCTTGCTTGTCCAATTTAAACAACATTTAGAAACATGACAAGGATTATTGTCTCCTAAGAAAGGTTACATATCTTCTGTTTTTTTCCCCCTCAAACTATTTCTTAATACTCAGGGAAAGAAATGAGAAATTGAACCAATGACTCTGGATCTTATCCTCAATCGCGATAGCAATGCCTTCTCGACCAAATCTTCATACATTCTACCACATGTTTAGTTAAATCTTTTAGGGTGCCTTTGGGAGTCGACGGAAAAGAAAGGGAAAGAAGAGAGAGCTTGATTTTCCTTTGTTTGTGAGTTTTAAGTAAGAGAAGAGAAAAGAAAGGAAATGGAGGGATGAATAGTGGACAAAATTTTTCCTCCCAAAATAAAGAGAAAGTTGGAGGAAGCTTGTAAAATTTTTTTAAAATACCACTTTTATCCTTAAAAATGTCTTGAATAAATATTTAATGACTTTAATATCCAAAATCATTTCCCCTCTTCTCTATTCTATCCTAAACTCCCAAACTTAGCCTTAGTATAGGATGAAGTTAGATAATAGAGCAGGTCGAAATGTATCTCCTGATTTTTGTGGAGAGGTATGGAAATGTTTACTCAAGCCCACATAAATGACGAGTATGAGTAGAGACCCTTTTACACTCTATCATTGTACAATCATTTTATGAAGAGACTAATATGGGGTCCGTACCCGTGGACCATACCACTAGTGGGTCCTATCCATTTCCCAAAATCCTGATTGCCAGCCTGGTTTGAAAATGAAAGAATACAATATACATAGCGTGCGTGAGTGAACGAGACCATCATATTGATTTGATTCTGGTGATGTAGTACAACCTCGATATGGCATCTCGCTGATACAGTTGGAACTTGGAAGGCCAGAAAATTAAGTGAAGAAAGAGAAGATAAGAAGAAGAAGGGTTTTCCTTTTGTGGTCTGGTTGGGCGTGGGAGGTTGAATATAAATTGGATTAGCCACAAAAATAAAAGCAATAATTAAGAATTACGAAATGGGCAAAGTTGCAGGCAGGACTGAGCTGACGGGGCTGTTGCAGAAAATGGAAACAATATTCATCCCCTAACCCATGCGTGCATAAACCGCCAATATTGAACATCATCATCATATCATATATAGCTGTGTGTGTGTGTGTGACTTTCTTGCTCTCCATTACGTGCATGGCTTGAATTATGTCAGCAAAGATGTTGCCTGTCTTCGCATTTTTTTCATTTCATCTTGTTTTGTATATTAAATTAAGGTTGTCATTAATAATTTATTCGCGCTTGAAGCGCCCCCCACCTCTGGTGCGGGTTGAGTGGAAAAAGAAGAAAAACAAGAAGGGGTGGTCTGAAATATTTGCAATTCACGCAGGCAGCAGTAGAAACTGGATTGGACTCGTTAATCTGTGCATTAATCAGCAATGAATTGATCAGTGGTTGGCTGCTGCTGATCAGTTGCAGGAAAAAACCTGTTTACTTTTTTTGGTATTGTTCATTATTATGTATGTGAAGTTGTGAACACGTGCGGTCATGAGTGCTCTTATCAAGCAGGAATGAATTGAGGAAGGAATATGACGAATGAAGAGGACAAGTAATGGCAATACTCTTTCCAAAAACTGCTTTGTCTGCGGTTCTTTTGTGGCCTGTAAATGGGAACAATATTGGCCTTCTTGTATCGGTTCTAAAGATAAGACGATGAAGGGCCGGAGGTTTCCTGTGTTGATATGTTTAACGTGCAGGAAAGGGGACATCATTTGTTTGACTAATTATATATGTACTGTCTGGCTCAAGCTGTTACTTCTATAAGCTAAACCACTCGCAATCTGCTGCTCGAATTGCGTTGCCATTGAATTCCTCCATGGGCAATTGATTGAGCTGGTGAAACACACAGTTCAAAGTGGAATTTCACATTGAATCATGATCAGCTGCATATATAAAACTTTGGATAAATCCTTTTTATACTATCTATCTACATCTAGCTACGAATGTGTATACATCAAAGGGTTTAGATGCATACCATATTATATCAGTTTAAATGTCCAATGACAGTAAAGAAAAGATTAATTCTAAAAATTTAAATGTCTGCAACATAATTTATGCATCAATATTTAAATCGATTTTCTTAGTGGGATGGGAGTCTTCTATACATCCTTCTTTTTAACTGCAGCACTTTCCATCATTTTCTTCGTCAAGCTTGTACCTAAGCATCATAAGAGGTAGATTGATTAGCTATAAAAGGTGAACCACAGTCCACAGAGGCTGGACATGGACTATATATGGCTACTGGCAGTGAGGGCGAGGTGGTTTGCTTATCTAAATTCGTTGACATTTTGGGTCGAAACAGTCAAGACTTGGTGCTGCCGCTGGCCAACCAGTGGCTCATAACAGGTGAGGTAAGGCCAAAGACGTAGAGAGAGGCTGTCTGCCTCCCTGTCTTCAAAAAGTTGAAAATCATCATTCCACACATTTCTTTTTGGTGGTTAACACTAAAACACAAACAATCATCAACTCATTCATCCATTCATTGAATAATCTTTGTCATATTGACTTTTTAAAGTTTTAATGCCAAATTTCACGGAAACATGGGATGCATAACGTGATGGTTGGTTTCAATTCTCAACTATGGGCACTGAGCAGGCAAGTGATGACTTCAGGGGAACTTAGCTAGCACTGTTAACATAGCATTGAGAGTTCGACTTTTCAATAACGCATTGGAACTAATCTCATCCTCATTACTAACTGTAATTACTGAATTATTACTACTACTAAACCCCATTTGACTTATTATTATGTGATGATGCCACTCTATAATCAAGGACAGCAAAGCCCTCGTTCTCATCTTTCCCTACGACATTATGACCCTACAACTACATGGGGATTTGTCATGCTTCGTCTTAATTTTCACACCAGTATTACTACGTTAATTCTCCTCGATCACACTAGTATGATGCTTTCAATGCAATGGAGAGGATAGAAAAGGACAAAAAGCATCCTGAATTCAATAACAAGCACAAAATGAAAAAAAAAAATAATAAAATGTCTAAAATAGAAAAAGACTTGAAAAGCGTGATTAATTGATTAAACTTTTCTTCTGTATATGTAAATTTCTAAATGTCAAAGTCAGATATCAAACATTTCATTTTTTGTATAACATTCACATTATACTAGATTAGATATAGGCATAATTGCTGCTTAATTTAAAGATAGATGGCCAACTAGCATAAGCGTGCTTTGAAATTTGGTTTTCGTAATATTCTAGTTTTCAAATGTCAATTAGCCTACGGGGATAAAGCTGGAAAGTAACTAGTACAAATTATTAACGTTTCTTTAACAAAATCAAATCTGTTTTAGAGAAACTCTTTCCAGTAAGACAGTCCAATTTTTTCTTTGAAATTATATCGTCGCCAGTAATGGATGGATCGGTTACACCTGTTTTCCATTCTGCGCTCTTATACTCATCTTCTCACGTTAATGCATTTTGGCATGTTTTCATACAAAAACTTGCAATAGTAACAGGAAAAGAAATGGAGAAAATTTTTTTTTTTTTTTTTGGCTTGCTTTGCGTGTAACTACGTACTATTTTACATGGGCAAGTTTCTTTTGGAAGCCAGGAAATTATTTCTGAAGCTTCAGTATGCATGCCCACATAGTTACGCAAAAACACAGAGAGGGATTCTCTCTTCTTTTTTTTTTCTTTTTTTTTTTAGCACAAAGAGAGAGGGAGAGGGATATTTTACTAACCATTATCAGTTTTTAGAATATATATATATATTCTAATTAGAGGGGTAACTGTTTCTTACTGCAAGTCTTAGGAGAAACATCTCGAAAGAGTCCACCAAAGAATCCAATATGTAATTCAGGAATTCAACTCTGACCCAAAGACTTAAAGCCATTAAGTCTTGAACCCTTACTTACATATATTAACCGCTCTTTCTTTCTCCATCTCTCGGACCAATACGAGACATGACCCTTTACTCATCAGTTAACTTGACATTTTGTGTGGTCGAAAGCAATCAAAGGAAAGGATATATATACTAATACAAATTGGTTCGGCCAATTAGATAATGAAGGTAAGTCAGTTGAAAGCTCATCTCATGACAAATACCCCACGTACGCATATATGCCATTTTTGTGAAGCGTTCTCTTTTATAAATTATATGGGGAATAAACATTTCCAATGCACGTAGGTGATGGAGAAAGAATAAAGAGCTCATTCGACAGGATATAATATGATCGGCCACTTCAAGATGGCGCGAATGGAATATTAAACTAAATCAGCGATAAAGAAGCGAATCAAGCGAAGAACAACTCCACCAATTTCAAAGCTTAATGTTCGCAAGTCAAAGCAAGCTTTCTTCTGGGCTACCGTCCAAGCAAGAAAAAGCCACTGTGATGTGATGATCATAATTCATAATCTACATCTTCTTCCCTTCTCCTGCCTTTTTCTTTCCTTCTTTCTTTCTGGTGCCCGGCTCTTTCCCTCCCAAGTAGATTCTTTATTAACGAACAAATGGCCCCATAGAAATAGAATAGCAGCACGGTAAACACTAGTACAGCAGCAAATTCAAGAGTGACTGGAGATCTTGAATAACATGACTGTTATGCCCCCCTCCCATACATCTTCTACGTGACACAACATAATAATCTTTATTGCATCAATTCTCTCCAGCTAGATAGATAGATACCTTAATCATCTGCTCTAGAATTTTTACGGGTGTAAAAAGCATCAGGGACAATTGGCATCTACTCTCCGCTGTGAATATTTGACTCTCGACATCTGGAAATGACACGCCAGGACCAGGTGATGAATTATACAGCTAGCGTACATGGTTGGAAGAGCCCGTGTTCTGTGACATGTTTACCCCTTCTCGTTAATTTTCCTTTCCAGCATAGTCTCCAAATTTTTATATGATCGATCAAGTTAAAAAACGCAAGCACATTCCTGTCCATGCAACTATTTTCTATACGACTTTGAGCTTCGAGAGCTGAATTATAAATAATTCTTGGAAATAGTTACAGTAATTCTCTCAACGTTAACAAGTCTTCGTGCTTGAACCTTTTTGTTCTCCAAACAAAGAAAAAAAGGAAAAAGATAATACTACTATAAAAGACAAAAGAAGGGGTACTTTGGTCAACTTATGCACCGGTCGAGGATTTTGAACCTCAAAATAAATATTACGTCGATGCTGAGGTGGTTCTTCAATTCCTCCCCAACAAATGTGTACCGAATTTCAAAATCTTCTTTCCCATGTTTACTTTTGGTGAAGCTTCTCTCCTCCCATCTTTCCATCTTTCTTGCTTTCCTTCTATTCTTTGTCTCCCTCTTTCTCTTTCTTCTCTGTCTTCTGCCCTCCGTGACGACTCTGGATCTCTAGCTACTTAGCTAGCAGTTGGGGAGGTGTATAAGTGGTTCATGGATATTGATCTCTTGTGGGCTGTCGGGGGGTGGCTTCTTATTCCTGATTGCATGGCAACATTGAAAACCTCATCGAAAATCTCCGAAAGCTCTTCAAAATCCCAAAACCCTTTCCTTCTCTTTCTTGGCCTCATTTTCATCTTCCTCGTTCTCGTACACTCCTCTGATCCCTCCATTAGTCCATCTCTGGAATCAACTCAAACTCTTGTCCCTCATTCTTCACCATCATCAGCCTCATCGCCATCACCACCATCATCTGCTATGAAACTGCACTCCAGAAGGAGCAAAACTATGCACACACCATCATCATCATCATCTTCTGCTTCTAGGGAGTTTGAAGCTGGTGAACATGAAGTTCCAAGCGGACCAAACCCCATATCAAATTGAAAAGGTAAGCTCGTTGAATTACACAATTTGAAGTCTACTCACGAACCGGGAAGGATGCTAGCTAGCTAGCTTGAGTCGTTGCTATCATCTCTGGTAATCCTCGTATCAGTCGCCACCAAATATTAGTTGTCCTCAGCGAGAGGATTAAGTTAATTGGCTTTGTTGTCTTGGCCATTGTTATTAGCATCACTTTTTGCCCTTAATTCTCTATCATATCCTCTTTTGTAGAATTGTATAGCAAAAGAACCTATTTATAATATATCCTTGTATGTAAGGATCTACATATTTCGGATATAGATCATAAACTATCCATGATAATTATTATGGTATTGCACTAGATTGCTGCTGTTAGTGTTACATATAGTTTTGAGACATAGGGAGAGAGAGAGAGAGAGAGCATCTTTAGTTTGCTTGTGTAATTCGTTGATTGGTTGAAATATTTATGTATATTTTCTTTCTTTCTTTCTTTCTACTTTGCTTCAAGCATTTATTCCTTTCAAATTTCTCGAACGAGCAAGCTTTTATCACTCCCTCCTTTGTCTTGGTGCAGTCTTTTCATCAATAAGTTTTTTCCATTTTATGATACCTGTCTGAAGGATGGATAGCAGGACATAACAAATAACAAGATCAACTGCATGTTCATAAGTTTTCTACTCCTCCAGATTTTATTTATTTTATTTTCGATCTCAACCGATCAAGCTGGTCGAAGTTAATTGATTACGAAGCCGTGATGCCTGTAATATCTCTGAATCTGTTTCATGGTTCCATTAGGGTTTCCTTCGTTTTTCATGAGGAGGGGTAAAGGGAAGAAGAACACGGGATCTTGAACAAAGGTTGGTTCAGTGGTGTCAGATCCGTGGTGGAAGTACCTTTTGTTATTTCCTGCAAAATTATTTCAGTAGCTTTGGACTTTTACTTTTGTCTTCTCAAAACACAAAATCCAATAAAGCTGATACCAAACAGACATGATGAGCCCATGATTTCATAATGATAACAGTCTCATTTCCTGTAATTGAGCAATCATATGCGCCCAGTGGCAGTTCTATTCAGCAAAACTAATAAAGCAAGAAAGAAGTTTTGGCGTACGGATGTGAGAAGAAAAGTTTAGTGCAATGTCTCATCATCCTTTGACACAAACATATGGTCTTGTTGACGATGGATGCTTCTTGTTCATTGTACGATTTGGTGCTGCGTTGGGGAACTATTTGTATTGGAAAAAGAAAACCACTTTAATGTTATGGTTAGCTATTGTTTGATTATGAATGAATGCATGCCAGCTGATGACAAAGAAAGTACTCCCATAACTGATTACTGGTAACAGTTTGTACTAGTAGCAGTAGTATATACTGTACATTTGTGCAGGCAACATAAGTGCCCTGTATTATTTACTATGACGCTTCGATACGCTTTGATCATATCCAACTTAATTACAATATGTTTATGAAAAAAAGAGGAGGGTCAAAAATTGGTCGAGAATAATAGATCTCTTCTTTAAAGACTAAATAAACAAAAAGTATTCGTAACTACGAGAGCCCATATTCGATCATCAACATAAACATACGCTTAATTACTAGTTCCACCAAAAAAAAAAAGAGAGAGAGAGAGAAAGAAAAAAAGATTTGATGGGAGTTAAAATGGTTAAGTTTGCTTACAACTTTGTACTAGTTAAAGAGATGTTACAGTACAATACAATAGTTGATGTTTCCAAGGTCTTGGCGTCAATAAACTTGTATTTATTAACATAATATGCACATGGGAAATGAGTCCTAATACAAAATTTTATCACGTCTAGGATTAGTCTTATGTCATACAATTAAGAAATTAACTATTTTTCTCTACTCGAAGAGACGTAATTCGTGGTAAGATAGGCATAATTCCTCCCAATTTTTGGTAAATTTTGCACGATAGAAATTTTCAAAACAATTGTGGTTGACAAAAAAAGCATTCTAGGAAGGCAAAGAGACAAGCTCAACCGGAAGAAGCAATTGACATTACATACACGAAGGTGAAATGGTACTCTGCTTACCTCACACTACAAGTAAATTGGCCGGACCTCTTCTGGAAAGCTGAACTGCAATCAAGAATGTCAAGGCGGTTTGCTTTTGCTTTTGCTTCTTTTTTTTTTTTTTCAGGCCATCACTGAAAAAGTTGATTAGAAAAAAAGAAAAAAAAAAGTCAGTCCTTTGGGTCATGGTAGCAGGGATGCAAGACCACATGGCATGCTCAACAAGCTACAATGCCATCTTTAGCATGCAGGCCCAAAATGCAAAGTGTTCCCCTTTTGCAAAAGTAAAAATCTGCTTTCTTTCTGGCTCTGTCTTGGTACCCAAGCTGCCATGGCTCACGAATACTACTGGTTGGAGTCCTACTTCGTCACAATCAAATCAACGCAGTGCAGAGTAGGGTTAGTAACAAATTGGCTCCTCCAAAGCACACGTTGTCATAGTTGCGTCCCAAATTCGGTATGATTTATGGTGTGTTCGATAGATAGATGGAACTGAAGTACGAAAACTAAACCCTAAAATTTGAATCCATTAAGTTACTAAATTAAATTATTAAGCACAAAATTTTATACATTTGAGCTACTAAGTACTACATCTGATACATTTGAGTGTATATTACATTAAATAATAAGTGAATAGCTTATCCCTTTGTTAAGTAGTACTAAATCTGATATCGTTAAGTGCATATCACATTAAATGATAAGTGAATAGTTTATCACTTAGTATTTTGAAGGGAAGTTTTGTTTAAAAAATTCAGTGTCATTTAATTAATTCAGATGTTTTATTTTTTACCATTAAATGCATCTGAACATATTAAAATCTGAGTCTATTAAGTGTAACTTTAAGCATTGAATTAGGTTACGGTCACATGAGTTGCAAGCGTCGCATGGCAGGAAAAAAAAATGGAAAAAGGAAAAGCCCAATCTAATGCTTTTGTCTTATTTTCGGCAAAACATTAAGAAAATAGCAAAGGACAAAGGCCCAAATCAACAAGAAGCACGAAAAAAGTGAAGGCTTCAGGTATGCCGTGCCCAATTAATGTAACATGGATAAGCATTAAGCATGCGTCTCTAGGGCCTGGCAGTGGATGCGCTTTCTTGTCAGCCCAATGTGGGATTCCCCCGTTCGGATTCGAAGCAAAGCAGTACTACAAAATAGTAGTAACAGCAAAGCCTGGATCCAAATTCCAAACCCGCTTTCGTCGAAACTAATTCGAAGTCCAGCAGACTCGAGACTTTGGAAATTCATTCTCCCGCCGTCCTCTCCTCGCCGAGTAAGCTCAGGGAGAAGAACGAAAAGCAAAAAAGAGGAAAAGGGTAGCGAAGCAAATAGTAAAAGGTGGATAAATTTCTCTGGGATGGTAATAAAGATGGCAGTCAGACTTAGGAACTTTAAGGAAATCCCAAGACTCGTTTCCAAGTTTTACCCTGGTATAAATTTTACTCCTACAACCTACCTACTCATCATTTCTATTGAACTCAATTAATTTCTGTTCTTTTAATCAGCTCTTTTGCTTTCCTATTTCTTGTTAGTTTGTTATGGAAGTTACCAATCATCTAGGGGAGGCATTGATAATTTGTGGCTGCGTTGGTTATCTTCGAGTCATGAGTGCTTGAGAAATAACAAGAAGCTCGAATGGAGCAGAAGCCTTCATTCCCAGAGGTAGTAATAATTTCAATTTCTATTTTTTCATTGAGGATTCTGGTAGAAATAATCTTAATTGAAACGGTAACAGCAGTGATTTGCTAGTACTGTCATTTAGGATTTTGTATAGTTTTTAATTGTCCAAGCAAAATTGAGAATCATTACTTGTTTAAATCTTAATTCTTGATTAAATTATTGAGGGCTTGATTTGACTGAGGAGGTTACTGGTCAATTCCTAATGTGGGACCTTTGCTATTATGATCAATGTTTGCCAGCTCCCAAAAGTTCTTACTTTTCAATGACAGTTATTTTCAGGTACTCAACATCGCGAGAGGTATCACCTGAACCTCTATCTGAAGCTGATTTCCTTTCTTTTATTCAATCTACTCTCGATGAACACCAAGGTGAGGCAGACCTACATGTTTAATTTCTAAGAACTATGTTTATTTTGTAGAAGTTTGCTACTTTCTGCAATCAACATCACCCGTGTACTTTCGATCATAATGATACTTCTAATTTGATCGTATTTTAGATGCTATAATGGACATAAAATTGACTATTAGGCGTTTCTTTGGGTGCAAAGAGTGAAGGTTGAGATTGTTGGTTGGCACATAATACCATGTCTATGATGTGTTTAATATTTGATATTGGAAATCCATTTTAAAACTAATCTGCTAGATTAGATAATGAAGATGAACTATTTTACAATGTTTTGGCTATTAGAACTTGATGTTCTGTGTTTATATTAGCTGTTTGGTGCTTGCCAACTTGTATTATGATTATTTACTGATCAAAAGTGTGCTCTTTTTAAGTGGATATTCTAGACCACTTTCTGGTTGTGCATGTTGGAACATCAAGTAAATGGTTGGTTGACTTTTAAAATGGGAAGATAAAGAGACAATGCCGTTCTGGGACACCCAGACTGCAATTTCTGTTTCCATTTGTACCTTGAAAGAGTGAAGGTAGTGGTTGAAGAAGGTTTATATGTGGTACAGAACTCATGGTTATAAAAGTCTTTTATTGCATATAATCTATTACATTTACATTACTATTTAAGTCATTTACCCTCCTACCGGGTGTCAAGTCTCAGAGTAGCAAGCTCATCTTTCTGAAAGTTCATGTTGTAACCGCAGGCTATTCCTTTAGGTGGTTAAACAAACATGAGGGGTGCAAGAGTTTCTTTAAGAAAGATGGAATCTTCTTAATTGTTGCTGGTGAAGATATTGGAGATTTTGTGCTATCTGGCTGTAATCCCTTGAGCATGTTTGAGAAGGTTAAATCACTTCAGCAAAGGTAGAGTAAACACCTACTGTCAGCTACTTAAGCTTGTTGAATCTGACTGTAGAAGTATGTGACTATATCAGTTAGATCACTCAGTGCTTCTTATTATTGTGGTTGCAGGTATCCTTCTCTACAGGTGATGGGATTCCAATATAGTCCATCAATTTCTTTAAATGCTGTTCCAACAAATTTACTCTGGAGGATCATGGCTGAGTACATTTTGTTTCCCGTTTTATTGTCTAACAAGTGTTATCCTCAGGTGTGTCACTATTTTTTGTTTTAGGGGCCAAGGGAAGAATGCGTTTGGATTGGTTACTCAAAGTAGTTAAACTAACCTCCTATGAGAATTTGTTCAAAGTTGTCTTCCAAATTATCTTGCGAAAAGTCTGCCAAACATTACATTGAAGAAATACTTAGCTTCCTACTTTAGATCCAAAAGTAATATTGCTTTGCTTGTAGTTTCACTTTGACCTTTTTTTGGGAAAAAGTTGAGCAATTGTGCTCTATCTCAATCTGAATGATGCTGTTCTCTGAATCATGTTGATATGCCTACAATTTTGTTGCATGATTATGAAAAGAGTACCATCTTATATATATGCACACATTTGTACACACATAGACAAATCTATCTTGTTTCAAATCTATTCAGTTGGTTGAACTTGAGGTGCTTTTTCCAATTTTTTCGTCAGGTCATTGTGGCTAGATCAGTTGCATCGCCATTTTCATTGTCCCATATCCCATGTATGGTTGTACTACAATATAGAGAAATTGTTGTTATATTTGATGCTCATCTTTTATTTGTTTTGGTTTGTTTAAATCTGAAAGCACCAACTGTGTTTGGGAATGCTACTTGTTAGTTGTGGTATTAAGTTTCAATTTTTTATCACGTGATCGTTCTCGTGTCTCTGACAATGTAATTGGAATGCAGATTCATTATCTTTGGAGCTGATGCCTTCAAATACAAATCTTGTGTGTTCTTTGTCTCACTTTTCTTGAAGGCCATTTATTTTCGTATAAATGTAATTTTTTTTTTCATTTGATTAGAAAAAAGATGGTCCCTGCTACATAATGTTTAAGGGGTTTGAGAGTCCTTTGATCTATCATGAGAAGGATGTTGATCTTGCAACTCTTGATAAAGGTATACAACTTCCTTGTCGTGTATCTGTTGGCCTATTACAACACCTCTTTAGACGTCAGTGTATCAAATCTTCTTTTTTCTGTCATCATTCAAATATAAATACTGGTACTCGTGCATTTGACATGTATACACTTAGTGCATGAACTTGATTTTTGATGGTGGTGATCTTACTCATGAAGTTTTTAGATCCCTAACCGAATTGATTCTGAAGTACCAACTAAAGGAT